ATTGACATCCTCTCAAATGACAGTCGAACGACAATGCGCTTAGTTTCAATTTTTTGGAAATTGAATTTTTTATTTTTCATATTTTTTATTTTTAGTGAATATTTCTAAAATTTTAAATAATTTTTTTACTTTTGTAAATGCATCTTACTTAGATGTATCTAAAAAATAAAATATTTTTAAAAAATTAATAAATACACAAGAATATGAAAAATGTACTGGATTCTCGGTTTGTTTTTTTTTTGTTGGTATTTAGTGAATTTTTTAAAATTCACTTATATTATATATTTTAAAAATATTTATGTTAAGTATATTTAAAAATTAAAAAAATTACTTAAAATATTAAAAAAATTTAATAAAAATAAGGATAAATTACATTGACATCCTCTGAGCTTTATGTTTATTATAGGTTGCCCTTACCTTTTGGAAATTACATCCCCCTTCCAGAGGTTTAAAGTTTCAGGACAGATTGCTCTATCCAGTAATTTAATTTTTTAAATATCAATTTTGCCCTCACTGGGTAAATTACATTGACATCCCTCACATTTTAGAAATTACAATCCCTTCCCCAAGGTTTAAAGTAGCATTACCCATTGCCCCCTCGGTTAGTATTAGTTGAAAAAAAAATTAATTGAAAAAAAAAATTAATTGAAAAAAAAATTATTTGAAAAAAAAATTAATTGAAAAAGAATTTTGTTAGTCAAATTTTTAAGTTTCTATTTAAAAACCAACGTAAGATAAAAATTACACTGACACCGCTTGAGGTTTATGTTTATTACACTCGAAAGATAAAAATTATATAAAAGTGATAATTACTTTTTATTTTTTATTTCTTAACCAAATTAATTTTTAATTTTTAAAAAAAAATTCTAAAAATCAAATCATATATAGCCTAAGAATCTTTTGATAATTCATTTCTTACGTTGATAACTTATTTAATTATTTATTAATTTTACGATATTTTTACCATCTGAGGCCTATTTGGTAACCATTTCATTTTCAGTTTTCAATTTATATTTACAAAATTTTTAAAAACTGTTATAAAAACTTGTTTGATAATTTTTTTAGTTTATAAATGGTTGTCTTAGCTTATAAATTTGAAGAAAAAACGTAAATTCAGAAAATGAGTTTACGTTGGTTTTTAAACAGAAATTTAAAAATTTGACTAATAAAATTTTTTTTCAAATAATTTTTTTTCAATGAGTTTTTTTTTTTTTCAACTAATACTAATTGAGGGAGCAATTGGTAGTGCTACTTTAAACTTTGGAGAGGGGATTATAATTTCTAGAATGTGAGGGGTGTCAATATAATTTACCCAGTGAGGGTAAAATTGATATTTAAAAAAATTAAATTACTAGAGAGAATAATCTGTAATGAAATTTAAACTTAGGAAAGGAATGTAATTTTCAAAAAATTATAATAAATATAAACCTCAGGTGCCAATGTAATTTACCATAAAAATAAAAAACACGGAAAAAAAAAATTCAACTTACTACTAGCTTTTGTGTCCAAAAACACCCAATTGAATCAGCGGAGATAGGGGAGAGAGCGAGAGAGAGAGAGAGAGAGAGAGATTATACTGGTCCGTGAGCTTGTGATGGGGACGAAGATGGCGGCGGCGCTGGTGTTGCGGCACCGAATGCGAAGGTCCGGCCGGATCATCAGTAATGCCGACAATAACTTCCCCACCGGGTATATACAAAATACATACATATATACACATATATCCAAAATTAAAATTTGAAGTGATTTATGGTGGATTTATTGAGTTTGCTACTAGTGTGAATCTTGATTAAACGCTTCGAATTTTGGACCGTGTTTTAATGCCATAAATTTTACTAAAATTATTAATTTTATTTCTATGATTCAACAGTCCAGTGTGTGTTCTCCTTGTATTGTATAACGCTTAGTTTATAATTATTAATTATTGGTTAAAGTGGGATATTTTTATTATGCCAATTTTGAACTGCTTTTAATAGGCTTATTGAATTTATCAAGTTGGGTAAAATTGAGCTTTGAATAGTTATTGATTTATATATATACATTTTTTTTGGTAACATCACAGCATTCTTTTGGTAGATTGTATGGGTTTAGCTGTGATAAATTATTTGGGCAGTTATGTAATTAATTGAAGAAGATATGTTGTGAATGGTTATTGAGAAAGCCTTCATAATCCCTTGCTCCATGCCCATTGATGAAAACTAACCTGTTTTACAATGAGTATATAAACCATTTTGTCTACCAAAATGTGCAATTATTTTTTCTTCAATATAGTATTGGCAAGGTTGTAGTTAGAAAGCATCTTTGGTTTGTTGTGATCAGAGTCAAGTAATGCACTATTCAATACGAATTTCAACTAAAAAAATGATTCAATTTGTGTTGTTGAATCATAAATTGAGTGAATCTTATGATTCAATTGTGTTTAATTACAATTCTTTGTAATTCACTACAATTTGCTACGATTCACATGATTCAGTTTTATTTGCATAATGCATGAAAAAAATGTCATTTTTGCAAAACTAAAGGAGATAAATTAATTATATTAATATACGTGGATTTAGATATACTTTAGTGAGTTTCAATGCTATTGGTGTTCTCCCCAGCTTTCATTGTTGTTCATTCATAACACGAAAAAACTCCACAATTAATTATATTAGGTTCCATCCATCCTAAGCAATTCTGTTTCTCTCTCTGTAATGGGTTGCTGTAAATGCAATGGTGAATTCTCTCTCTCTCTCTCTCTCTCTCTCTCTCTATTATGTTAGTTGGCTTACTTGATTAGAAGCAATTAAGGTTGGCACCCTTAAAGTGTGAATGTGTTACCTAAGAGAGTGTATTTGTTTAAATTTTTTGCATGTTTCTTCAGATATCTAATACTTCACTGAAAACAAGAAAAGTAATAGCTGAGCTCTGTGAGGTGTTTGGTGGGGCTTTTTTGAGCCAACTTATGGCTTCTGACTTTTAAAAAGTTATTTTGGACTGTTTGGTTAAACTTATTTCAAACAGCTTCTGATTCTAACAACTTATTTTAAGTCAAAAAAGCTGATTCTGAGAAGCTGCTCACCCCTTGCTTCTGATTATCAGCTTCTGCTGTGAATATGTTAATTCACGATTATACTCTTAGATTTTTTTATTTTTTTTAAAAAAAGAAAAAGACTCAAATAGACTATAGAATATTATTATTAATTTTTATGAGAAATGTAGACAAATAGTGAAGAATAAAAAATAAAAGTTAATTGAAAAAGTTACTTCACAGCTTATTTAACAAACTCTAATCAGCAACTTAAATTTATAATCCAACAGTTACACCAAACAGATTAACAGCTTCTGATTAAAGTCATAATCTATAATCTGTTAAGCTATAATTTATAATCTGTTTTAACAGCTACACCAAACAGCACCATAGTTGCCATTTGTGGAGCCCACCTTTCTGCAGCTGGAATTTTAGGTATCATCAAGAAATTGGGGAAAGACAGTGTGGAGAGACAGAGTGAGCAGTTGGGAGAAGCCGAAGTCAGTGATGGCATTGGATGGTGGGCTGTATGAGCACCATACGAAATTCAGAAATTCTATGGAGAGCACTCTCAAATAGTTGCTGGGGAAGCATCTGCAACCATTTTCATTGACCATTCCAATGATGGCCCTGGCATTGGAACTGCCCTCATAGCAGCCTCTCACTCCCAGTGTAGAGGTTGTGGAATTCTAATAAAGGTCAAAGGCAGAGTATTCTGGTTAAACGAGCTTGATATTTTATTGTTGTTGCTGTATATTTTCTTTTTCCTCTTTATTGGCACAACTTGTGGAAATCCTACTTCAAGAGATGGTACAAGCAAATCCTTAATTTACACTCCTGCAGAGCAATGGAGCGTTGGGGGTAACAAGCTTTTCAATTGTTGCCTTGTCCTGCTTTTTCTTTTTGTTTTTCCAGTGCTGAAAAGCGTGTGTTGATACTAGTGTAACCTCATTTTCTCATGCAATAGATAATAAAATTGGGGATTGCAGTTGTTATTGTACTCCCTGTTGAGTTTTTAGATTTCTTTTGGTAGATTCTGCTTGGTAGTTCCAAGCATGTAAAGGAAAACTCTTATATGATCTCATGTGCATGTGAACTTCATTTCAATAGAAAAATGCACGTGGGTGGGTTATGTTGGATGCTTCCTCTTTCTCTCATCTGTATTTTGTGAAGGTGTTTTCTAGTTACAATTTTGTTGTAGGCAGACTAAAGGATTTCAGCAGATCTGATTTGGATTGGTAGCAGAGTCAAGTTTTAGGCATTGCCTGTTTGCAAATTTTAAGCCTGGAAGTGCTTCTGTAGATGTAGTTGCATTTTACTACACCAATCACATTTCATTCCTTTAAAGTAATGGAGGATAGGCCTTATCGTAGCATTAAGGTTTTGTTAATTTGTTTTTTTCCTTTTGTTTTGTTTTGTTAATGGAGGATAGGCCTTATTTCATAATTTACCAAAAAAACAAAGGCTGCTGCTCCATAATAATCTGGGCATCACGGTTTCAAACCATGAAATAGTCTCTCCACACGCACCCTGCAGTGGTGGGAGCTTCGTGCACTGGGACTATTGGCATTTTTGCTACTGTGCTTGATATACCGTCTAACAGCTGCAGGTTCTCATATTGTGAACTGTGTTTCTTAATTTGGTTACAACTCAATATGTTCATGCTTGTAAGAAACAGGCGGTGGTTTTAGAGTTCATGCTTGCACAAAAATCAAAAGCCTGAAGGACCATCAACAGAGCCTAAATTCAAGGATGAAGTTTAAAGTTATTATACATTTCTGAATTTTATTGTATTCAACATCATGGTGAGGAACCATTTCCTACCCCCTCTTTCATATGATATAGGCAGTCTCTCTCTCTCTCTCTCTCTCTCTCAAACCCATTGCTTGATATATGTTTCAGAGAATCTAAGCTACAACTATTTCTCATGTGTGAATCTTTGTTCTCCCCATCATGCTAATCAGGTTCTTTAAATAGCAGTGAAGAGCCACTAAACATTGGACACCAAACTATCATCCTCATCGTCCAACAACCTCTCACGCCTGGAATTCTTGAGGAGAGGAGAACCAGCATTCTCGCTTCCATCAATTTTCTCTCCTAATTCTGGTCGATGGCTGCAACAGCTGAGCAGGATCTGCAGAACCTCCTTCATGTTAGGCCTAGTTGAGGGAAACGTGCCCGTGCAAATGATCCCGAGCTTGAAGACACAAGTCATTTCATCCAGGTAACAAGGTTCTTTGACCTCCTCGTCCAAGGCATCAACTAAGGGGTTTCCGTCTTGAATGTGGCGCCATGCCCATTCGGCAAGGCAAGTATCTTCATCCCCATTGTTGCTGGCTTCCCTTCCAGTAACTAGTTCCAGAAGGACCACACCAAAACTATACACATCAATCTTCTCATTCACTCTTGTTGTGTGAGCATACTCTGAAACTCAAATTCATAGTTTAGAATTCGACAAAATGGTTATGAAATAGTAATACTTATATCAAGGAACCCTTTAATGTGTACTAAATGTACCTTGTTAAACATTTTTTAATGCATTTTTGTGGGAAATGTTACGTAATCTTTTAGTAATATTATGACAATTTGAGGTTCAGAAATAAAGTTACTCATTTTTTCATCGAAACATTTATGAGCCACAAGTTGCCCTAACCACAAATTTTTATGTTGATGATAGCAATTTTCATTTTTAAACCACAAATTGTCGTTTAACTCTATCAGAAGATGACATAACATTTGCCACAAAAATATGTAATATGTACGAGAAAAATGCGTAACAACCAAAGGGTTTTCCCTAATATCAAGAGTATTGAATAAATCACTTACCCGGTGCTAAGTATCCAATAGAACCAGCCACAACTGACATTGTATTAGTCTCTCCATGCTTGACTACCATCTTGGCTAGACCAAAATCTGCAACCTTTGCATTGAAGCTAGAATCTAACAAGATATTGCTTGATTTCACGTCTCGGTGAATTACTGCAGGTGAGCATTCATGGTGCATGTAGCACAGTCCCCGGGCTGTTCCCACTGCAATTTGAAGCCGCTTAGGCCAGTCCAAGACAGCATGATGGACTGGACCCGAGACACTCAACCGCTGGTTCTTCCCATGGAGCCACCGGTCCAGGCTGCTATTTTCCATATACTCATAGACGAGGAGTTTTGTAGTCTCACTAGAAATGCAGCACAGCAATTTCACTATGTTGGAATGGCGAATCGTGCCCAGAATTTGCACTTCTGCTAGGAATTCCTTCTCGACTTTCTCATCCAGCTTTCTGATATTCCGGGTCTTCTTGACAGCGACAACTTTGCCCCAACGGTTCAAAACTACACGGTACACTTTCCCTGAACCACCAGATCCGATCATGTTGCTTTCAGTCAGACTCGATAGAATGTCCAACTCTGAGAAATTCAACGATTGAAATTGAGTGAACTCCCACTTGGAATCCAATCCACACTTTCTTTTCCGATAAGTTTTGACCACGAGGAACATGAAGAACATAGCCAATGCAAACAAGGCCGCCGCTGTACTTACAATTACAGCAAGAATTTTGCTGGAGTTTTGAGGCCCTGAAGAGCATACATCAATGCCTAGTAGTGATGGGTTAGTTGCACAAAGACCAGAATTGTTCAAGAAGCTATTATCATATGCTTTGTTTTCGAACTCAACTGGTATTGTCCCAGTGAGAAGATTGGAAGACAGGTTGAGCAAAGTTAGCTTCAAAAGGCCAATCTGAGGCGGGATTTGACCCGATAACTCGTTCCCTGACAAGTCCAAATCAGTGAGACTAGGTAAAGACCCGATTTTGGCAGGAATTGGACCGGAAAGCTGGTTTCGACTGAGATGTAGAGTGTTCAGCCAATTCCACGAGATTATATCTGATGGAAGATGCCCAGAAAGTTGATTTCCATCAAGCAACAGAGTCGTCAAATGAGGAAGAGCTGTCAATCCTTGAGGAACTGTACCAGTGAAGTGATTGTTGCTTGCATTGAACACCGTCAAAGCCTTCCACGATGACACTCCAGCTGGGATTTCACCAGAAAACATGTTGTTACTAATCTCGATCCGTGATAAATTAGAAGCCAATTTATCGGGAAGCTGACCGAACAACAAATTGTCATTGAGAATCAAGGCTTTCATATGGATTGATGTCCACAAACCAGATGGAATGCTTCCAGAAAGTTGATTTCCATTGACTTGTACAATCAATAAGCTCCTGCAATTCCCAAGTGAATTTGGCAGTTCGCCTGTTAGATGGTTGTCAAAAGCTATGACTCCGGTCAATGCCCCATTAGCACACAAGTACTCTGGCAAGTTACCAGTAAAATGGTTTGAAGGGACCTGAAACTCTTTGAGCATCGAGTATTTTCCCAAGTCCGGTGGAAGTACCCCTGAGAGGTTATTGTTAAACAATTTAACGACTTCCAAGGAGGGAAGGCGGCCAATACTTGCCGGTAGCTCACCGGATAATTGATTGAAAATCAGATCCAAACCCGACAATTTTGTCAATTTTCCAAAATCATCAGGTATTGTTCCGTTTAAGTTGTTCGCGGATAGATCGATTTCCGCCAAATTCAAAGCTTCAACCACCTGAGGAATAGCCCCGGACAACTGATTTCTGAAAAGATACAGGATTGTTAAATTGTTCAACAAGAACAAACCACTTGGAATGTTACCAGTCAAGCTATTTATTGACAGGTCAAGGACCTCGAGCGCCGTCAAATTCCTTACTGTTTCTGGGATTTCTCCCATCAACCCTGATTCTCTCATCTGCAATTCTTTCAGTTTCTTCAACTGGGTAAAGCTCGAAGGTATAGCCATCATTGAGAAATTATTGAAAGACATCTCTAGTACTTCAAGATTCGACAAGTTACCGATTTCTGAGGGGAAAGAGCCGTTGAACCCATTTAGAAAAACCCGGAGAATTCTCAGCTCCGGGAACTTCCCAATTGCTGTGGGAATGTCACCGGTGAAGATGTTGCCGCTGAGGTTGAGAGACTGGAGCTGAGCTGACAACCGGTCGATGTCGCTGGGAATTGGGCCGGTGAAGATGTTTTGTGAGAGGTCAAGGATTTTGAGCTTGGAACAGTTGTAGAGACCGGTTGGGAATGGCCCGGAAAAGTAATTGTATTGAAGATCAATGAGGGTAAGGTTTTGGAGGTCGCAAATGAAGGGAGGTACTGTTCCATTGATGTTTGTGTTGATAAGTGAAAGTCCGGTGACCGACCCGTTGGTGCAGGTGATCTCATGCCAATCACAGTGGGTAGAGGTTGAGTTCCAGTGGTTGATGGGTGCTGGGTCAGACCAGTATTGTTTCAGTTTCAATAAGATTGATTGTTCTGAATTAGTACTAGTTTGGGAGGTTCCATGGAAGGGGAAGATGAGGAAGAGGAGAGAGAGTATAGAGAGAGGAATTTTTGACATTTTTTGAGAGGTGGGTTTTGGGTGGTGGCTTTTTTTTTTGTTTTCCGGTGAGAAGCCTACGGTGGCGGAGGTCAGGCGGCGGGGCGGCAAGAGGGTTGGATTGCTATGGGAAGCACCATGAAATGTAAGACTCACCCAATTTTTCAAATTTCAAAGTTGTGTAGTCTTGTAATAAGTAAATATCAGCAAGGATGGTCTGTCCTCAAAATTTTTTGTCCCCTATCTCTAATTACTCACCATCATTGGATCATATGAGAATTTTAAGATTCACAAATCTCAAGACATATCTAATGATTGTGAGTGATTTGGAACAAAGAGGATAGGAATTTTTGGAGATAGAGAATCTTTGCTGAATAGCAATATAGTCTACTTTGGTCAATAGCCAATAAAATGTTGTCATTGAAATGATATGGATTCTTTCTCTGATCTCTTGGATATAAAAGTAAATAAATAAATTACAATAATAATTACAACATGTAATTTATTTAAAATACTAATTATTTTTCTGATTTTAAAAATTACATTCTAATCGTATAACAAATAATTTATTTCATTAATCAATCATTAAATTAATTAATCATGTTTAATGATGTTAGTAGTATATTTTAATTGATAATTCTGATAATTTTACTGTTATATAAGAGTATTGTTAAGAATTTTTTTTTTGTTAATTCTGTGATAACTTTTGATAAGGATTGTTTATCATTTTTATAATTATAAAGGGGCAATTTATATTTTAAATAAATTTGAAAGTTAACTAATGGAATTACATATATCGAAACAAGTTAGGCGATTTTCGGCGACTGTTTAGGCAATTTCTGGCGTCACTCTGGCGAGCCTTAAAACTTGTTTTTCTCTCTTTTTTTTCTTCCGTTTCTTTCAGTGTTGGGGGGAGGGGGACCTATTGAAGGTCGCTTTCTTTGCCGGCAGTGCTTCACTCCAGTCGATCTGGGTTTCTTTTCCGGCTTTGACTCGGTTTCTCATTCCCTCGGTTTCCCCTCCCCTCGGTCTCATTCAGTAGATCTGGGTTCCATATGTTTTTCAAGGTGTTTTCCGGTGGTTTGGTTGTTGTTCTCTGTTTTGTTTTCCGACGATCTCTACGGCTTGCTTCCGCTCCGTGGACCAGGTGTTTTACGGTGAGACAACTCGTTTTCCAGTGTTTTTTTGGTGAGCTTCCAGTTACCCTTTCTGATCTTGCACTTTTTGGTTGCTTGGAACAATGCTGAAGAAAGGCTTTCTTCTTAACTCTAAAGTGGTTCCCAAACGTCTTTCCAAAGAAGAGAAAGGCAAAGGCATCGTCATGTCAAGGGCTTGTGCTCAGGATAAGTTGCAGGGTTCCTTATACCCTAACTAATTTTTCGTTTTGGACCCGTTGGACATGGCTCTGATTCAGGATTCTCTGGGTGATGATTTTCAATTTGATTGGGATGCTGCTTTGGAACATATACAGTCTAAAGTGGGCTTGGATGATACAAACTTTCCACTGTCAAAAGGCCGTGAACAACCTAGGTCCTCTAATACTATGGTTCATACTGGTGTTGCTTTTGAACCGAGTGGTCAGTCTCCGAGTAGGGATATTAGAGCAGGAATCGGAGCATGGTGGGATTGTGGCACTGTCATCAGAGATGGGCCTCACAGTGGGCTTGGTTGCAGTAAGAATAGTGAGGTTGATATGTCTAGTACTTCACTCAGCAAGGATGATAAACCCACGCAGAAGGTCAAACGTCCCAAAAGAGTGTATTTGGGCAAGGACTTCCTCCTCATTGATCGTAACTCGTGTCAGGCTTTTCAATCCGGTGGATCCTTTCAGTTTTTACACCGACAGAGTTTGTTGATTGTTGAAGTTCGAATTCGCGGACATTCTGACCCAATTCTGCAAGATGCAGTAGTGGATATTGAGATGGAGGCCCCATCCCTAGACATTCTACCTACTTCTTCCCAATCCTGTGAAGAGACACTACAACCGTCACCACCCAATTTGCCAACTCTACAACTGTCCTCCCCGGTTCTTAGTGATTGTGAAATGGAGGAGCAAGCACCGACTACTGGAAAAGCTTCATTGTTTGATAATTTTATGTTTTGTTATGCAGGCCAGTCAAAAAGAATTCGTGCTTCCATACCTCGTTGTCCTAAATCCTCTAAATTGATCTTTGACATTACTGCTGGTAAACGCAAGCGGGAGCCACGGATTGAAAATTCCTACTTTGATCCCAGTCTTTACAGGCCACCTCGGCGTCGAGTTTTTGGACTAGGCTAGGAGACTCTTTTGTTGGTGCTTATTTATTCTAGTTTTATTTGTACTCATGATTATTATAACTTGTAATGCTGTTATTCTGCTTATTAATATATGGTGATTTCATCGTCAAAAAAAAATAAATTTGAAAAAATATATTTGTAATTTACTAAAAAAAAAAATGATTGGACAACTTTGCTTCTTACTTACCATCACAAGGCCTGTTTTAATGGAATAGTGTTTTTTTTAGAAGGTGGAAGGCTTGACCCCTTACAAAATGGGAACTTCACTCAACAAAGCATGCACTAAATTCGCTTGTCTGGACCTTCCTTGGCCATTTGTGCCAAATGATGAGCCATAACGTTGCCATGAGTAAAATATTATACAGGAAATCAATATAAATCATGTGATAAGTTTTGATTTTTTACTTTAAAACAAAATTTATGAAAATGATTTATACTTTTAAAAAAATATTATTGTTACATCATTTTGGTTGAGAATTACGTTTATAAATTCTGTAAGCATACTATCTTTTATTTTTTTTTATTTTTTATAATCTAATTGGTTCATTTTTTAAATCTATGATAATAAAAATAAATAAATTATTTCAATAATTATAGTTATATGATTTATGATATGTATTTTTAAAAAATTGTTATATGTTTTATCTTCTTTTCTTTTCTCTCTAACTTTAGTAAACATTTATTTTCTTTATTTCTCCTACGTTACCAAACAAGGTGTAGGAACTGTTTTTTAACATTTTTACTTCGTGATTTCGAGAGCCAACGACAAGAATTAATGCTCTCTATTTCTTTCATTGAAATGAGTTTAAATTTTTCTATAAAATAATTATTCCTTTATAATAATGAATGATAATTTTATTTATTATTTTTCTTTTACATACATCTGACCTTGAAAATAGAATATTTTTTAGGGTGAAATATCAATAAATCATAAAATATGATCTTCTGAATTATTTAATTTTTTCTTTTTTCGAATGAACCCAAAGGTCCCATTAAAGTGGAAATTACACAAAAAGGTAGTCACTTACACGTTTGAGTTTAATTTTTGAAGAATAAAAGTAAGTTTATCTAAATGTGAAATTACACATTTGGGCAATCCATACTATAGAGGTATTGGATTTTCCATTCTTCTAGAACAAATCCCACATTACAAATAAAAACATAATATTCCAATGTAATGCACTAAAAAATTTCTTAGCGTACTTTTCCTAAACTTAATAATGTAACACTCCAAAAAAATTCTTTAATGTATTTTTTTCAAATATAACATATAAAAAAATAACTTTATGTGTTTTTGACAAATGTAATACTCCAATCAATGTAATCTCAAACGTAACATTTCAATACAATACACTCCAATGTAATACACACAAAAACACTAAAAAATTCCTAAATATACTTTTTCCAAACGTAACACTCACAATTTGAAATTATACATTTGCCCAAAACTTGTTAGGAAATTTTCACTCTTTTTGAAATGGTTTGAAATATCTCGCATCCTTTTAGAATGGTTTGAAGAATCTCACATCTTTTTTTTGAAGTGTTACATTTGAGAAAAGTACACTAATTTTTTTTTTTGTGTGTTACATTGGAGTGTTACACTGAGAATTTTTTTTGGAGTATTACATTTGAGAAAAGTACACTAAAGAGTTTTTTTTTAATATGTTACATTAGCGTATTACACTAATTTTTTTTTTTTTAGTATTATATTGAAGCGTTACGTTTGAAAAAAGTACACTAAGGATTTTTTTTTTTGATAGTATTACATTGGAGTGTTATATTAAAGTGTTAAACAAAGCAACACACACTTACTTCGTCACCAAAAGTGCACAAACAACAACCGGCATCGGAAAATAAAAAGCAACCTTACAAACTTTTAGAAAAATAAAATTGATTCCCACGTTACAAGAAAACAACATCAGCAATTACAATCAATCCACCGTTGATCATTCTCCAAAATCACACACACAAATGGAAATGTAAAACATTACCCTCACCATTATGCACACATCAGCAAAAAGAATCACACCAAATCCCACCAAAGGATAAATATGTAAACTTCATTCATGCCAAATCAAAGGAAAATATTCATTACCAACTAAATAGGACCAAATAGTTCATTAAAAAAAAAAAAAAACATAAGACTAACTAGATCAACATTTCCCAATTTAGGATTTATCAGTAATTTTTCCAATAAAAAATACCTGATTAATAATAATATTATTTATTTTTTTGTGTTGATATAAATAAAAATCTAAAATTTTATAATAATTTTTTTTAACAGCGCCGCTAGAGGCCTCGAATCCGAGGCCTTGAATTTGCCTCAACAACAATTTTTTTTTTTTTTTTTTTTTTTTTGGGTGGGTTGGGTTAGTTTTGTTTTTTTTTTTAATTGGTTTTTTTTTTTTTTTTTTTTTGCCTTACTTCTTGTGGCTTGTTTTTTTTTTTGGTGGTGGCTGTGTTAGTTTAGTTATTTTTTTTAATTGGTTTTTTTTCTTTTTTTTTTAAGGGTGGTTTATGTGCAAGAATGTATCAAAAAATTAGATATTTCATACAAATTCATCGTATAAAATTATATGAAATTAACAAAATTTAATTAACAGCCTAACTGATCAGTCAATTTTATCACTCAACCAGTCCAACCTAATTGACTGATCAGTTAAGCTGCTGGTTAAATTTTTTTAATTTCATATAATTTTGTACGATGAGTTGGTGCGGAATGTTTAGTTTTTTGGCACACCCCTACACATAACCACCTTTTTTAAATAAAAAAAAACCAAGCCAACATAGCCCAACAAATAAAAAAAAAAAATAAAACACCAAACCAAACCGATTTGAATCAACATAGCCCAACGAATTGAAAGAAAAAAAAAAAAAAACTCAGCCTATGTAGTTTGATAAGGTGAGTAAGTTGGGTTAGACTTTATCAAAGGTGAGTCAGTTGGGCTAGATTTTATCAAACCATATAGGCTGAGTTAGTGCAAGATCTCTAATACACATAACCACCCTTGCAAAAAAGAAAGGAAAAGAAAAGATAGAATTTTTTTTTTGAATTTCGAGGCAAGGAAAAGAAAAGATAGGAAAAAAAAAAATTTAAAAAAAAACAAACACACAGCAAAAAAAGAAAAAAAGAAAAAACAGAAAAAGAAAGGAATTTCGAGACAATTTCGAGGCCTCCAATTCGAGGCCTCAAGCATTAATCTT